GTCCTGTGATGAAAAACTGTTTAGGTTCTCCGCTGATCACGGATCTTTGATTTTGAAGGTAGAACGTTGGGTGCACCGCAAGTATCCCGTGTAGGTACTATCCTCCAGCTCGTAAGAGGTCCGCCGAAACGTGGTCTGGTCCCGGAGCAGTGGCCGCCTTTATGCTCTGGATTCTCTAGTGGGAATAACGGGGTTTGACAGTGGCATTGTTGAGCGGAAGAGATATGTATGAAATTTCTTTGTCGATTCCATCCTGCTGAGAAGCTACAAGTCCCGTCTTCGTTTAGTAATATTGTCAACGAAAAACGGTAGTCGAGAAAATCCCGGCGGCACTCCTTTAGACTGCTCCTTCCTTTTGCTGCTTCCAAAGCTGCGATTGCCTATACTTTCGAGATCTTCTCGTACGTTGATCTACAACTGATATTTGCCATCAATCGCTGGAGATATGATGCAGTCGGATCCAGCCTTAGTGTTTACTTCTCGAGCAAATTTTGGTTTTCGGAATTTGTCCCAAGTTCCTTATTCGAGCATTGAAGTACTTTCACCACAAACTACCAGTCCTCCGAAATTCAGGTCGTAGTTCTTCGTTGGTCCTCCTCGATGGACCTGTTACAAATGGTCAGAAGATTTTCCTTTCTTAGGCGGTCCAACAGTGATAGATCTTTTTTTCCTGCTTTCAGCTAATTTGCATTTTTGCTCGAAGAAGACGGTGATCTGAATTATTGTAGAGGGATGGTACCACTGTGACGTCCAGTAAGCACCAGCTTTGGTTGGTGGGAGTGTTCGATCTCCGCATGAGTCATACCGTTGGGCAATTTCGATGTCCATCGGTGTGTTGTGATAAAAAAAGTTAGATATGAGTCCAACAAGACGGTTACCGTCCTTATTCCGAAGTTTTGATCCAAACCTTCCGACCCTATGCTCCCCTTCTTCTGCCATCCCTATTTTTGCAGTGAAATCACCTACGACGAATTTGTAGAATGAAGTTTCTTTGCGGATGATTTTTTCCAAATCCTCATAGTAAGCATTTAGTTTCGAGTCAACAGCTGCTGGTGTTGGACAATAGCAGTTGATGATAGTAATGGTTTGTTGATGAAGAGCAATACCTCCAACGTTTTGTGATAGAACTTTTTCTACGAATGATGAGTGTGTCATCACTCAACCGCCTGGCGTCCATCTTTCTGGATTCTGTTCCCTGCAAGGCGACTACGTGGTAGTTGATGCATCCTGCAACATCGGAAAGGGCGTGAAAATCCGTTGGTCTCGTAGCGTTGTAGGTACAGATCTGAGAAAATCTCCATGGCAAGTCGTTGACGTGTCCATTTGTTTCAAAATCCGTAGTATCCTGTGCAGCCTGACACTAGTGATCTTGTTGCCATCAGTCGTCGAAGATGTGATCCAGTGCGCAGGGTTTTCTTCCTTTTACAAGTAAAGCTTAAAGCAATAGAAGTTACCTCACACTTAGCAGTCTTGCCAAGGCCTGCCAAGCTTTGACCACAGGCAATCGCTGACCTATGTGCTCCACTGACTTCGCAGTACGACACCCGGAGACATGTTCGCGCCACGAAGAGACTGTAGACCATCACAGGGCGGTTTTTTTTGCCTTTTTGACAGTCTGAAATGAAACATCAGTGGTTTGTCTGTAAAGACCAGAGATGACACAGAAAAAATCTTGGAGGTGGAAAGAAGGGGAGTCAAGCAACCCGAATTGGACTTACCCAGCCTATTCTGAAGTGTGGTGAACCCTCCTCCCTTCCTCCCCACTCCTCTTGTTCGTTCCTGCAGAGAACCCATATTAAATTAAGAAAATAATCATTTACTCCTGTTAATATTTTCTTTTTTTTGAATTTCAAGCGTATATACACATTCCTACGAAAAACAATCAATTCCCCTGGATCATATCACATGCCTCTTGTACGGCTGCCTTGCTGTTGAAGAGCTCACGCTTGAGTTTACGGTATGTTCTTGGTAGGTATTCTATGGTGTTAGGGCTAAGAAGTCGTGTTTCCAAATTTTTCTCCACAAACTTGAAGTTAGTACTTCAGCGAGTTAAATGACGTGTCTTGGTTAATTTAAATATTTTAACAAAAACAAACAGAAATAGTAGCTTACTACTGAATATTGAAAAAAAGAACGCATAAGATTCATTTTGCATCTAACGAGCTTCTGCTTTGAACAGGTTAAAAAGCCTTTCAGTGGTGTAATTCCCAAAAGCGATGTTCAATTCGAACTTTAGAATTTTTTTTTCGAATATTACACAAAAATTCAGCTTGGTGTAAAAATCCGTACATTGCATGCGAAAATAAAGGTTATGTTATTTTATTTA